CTGGGGACCAGTTTCCAGCTGAGTGCCATCTCCAGCCCTATCTCAGCATGCCAGAACCCACGTGAGGGTTTTTATAGTCTGTTACCGTGTAGCCGACTGCTCCTCATCCACGTGGACAGTGGAGCTGCCTCTGCTTCCTGTGCCAGAGACGACGGTCTGTGCAGCTCAGCTCTCCTCCGAGGAGCCTGTCTCTCTTTGGTTGCCTCACAAACTCATCTTTCCCATGAGCTGAACAAAAGTAATGATTTTTCAGCTTATTATTTTCTCATGTTAGGGCAGGAATGATGTGCTGAGCAGCTTTCCATATCCTAAGAAGACACATACGGGCATTTAAATCCGCCTTTATCCTATAGCAAATGTACACCTTCACCTGTAGGAAGCTATTTTTATTCTTCCACAAGAATCATGCTGCTTTGATAAATCTTTCTAGCAGTGTAAATCACCCCTCAATCTTCCAAAAATTCTTCAGCCTTTTATTAAGCTTCCCAGGTGACCTTAGAATATATTGTCTAGTTAAAAAAAAAAATAAATACTTTCGACATTTTTAATAGAAATGAACCGGCTGAATTATTTTTTTTTTTTTTTAAATAAGTTTTTATTGTTCATATTATTACAAATGTTCCTCCCCCCCCCCCCCCCCCGCCCCACCATTGCTCTCCTCCACCAGGTTCCCACCCCACCCTCTGCCCTTTCCCCACTCCCCATTGTCCTCATCCATAGGTGCACAGTTTATGTTCAGTCTCTTCCCACGCCCCCCTCTCCTCTTTTCCCCAAGAATCGTCAGTTCACTCCCCTTCCATACCTCTGATTCTATTATATTCAACAGTTACTATTGTTCGTCAGATTTTTTTTTTAATTTCCTTGGTTTTTAGATTCACTTGTTGATAGTTACGTATTTGTTGTTCATAATTTTTATCTTTGTTTACTTTCTCTTCTGAAAGAACTCCCTTCAGCAACTCATATAAGTCTGGTTTGGTGTTGATGAACTCCTTTAGCTGTTTTTTATTAGTGAAGCTCTTTATCTGACCTTCGATTCTGAGTGATAGCTTTGCTGGATAGATTATCTTTGGCTGTAGGTTCTTACTATTCATCACCTTGAATATTTCTTGCCATTCCCTTCTGGCCTGCATGGTTTCTGTTGAGAAGTCAGCTGATAATCGTATAGGTGATCCTTTATAGGTAACTACCTTCTTTGCTCTTGCTTCTTTTAATATTCTCTCTTTGTCTTTTGCTCTTGGAATTTTAATTATGATTTGTCTTGGTGTGGTCTTCTTTGGATTCCTTTTGTTTGGAGTTCTGTGCGCTTCCTGGACTTGTAAGTCTAATTCTTTCACCAGGTGGGGGAAGTTTTCTGTCACTATTTCTTTCAGTATGTTTTCGATATCTTGCTCTCTCTCATCTTCTGGGACCCCCATAATTCTGATGTTCGTTCGCTTGAAGTTGTCCCAGAGGTTTCTTACATTATCTTCAATTTTCTGGATTCTCTTGCCTTCTAGCTTCTGTGGAGGAGTGTCTTCTGGCTCTGTATGTTCCAAATCTTTGACTTGATTCTTGCGATTTTCCCTTCTGTTTTTAGGACTCTGTAAAATATTTTTTATTTCAGACAATGTATTCTTTATTTCTTGTTGTTCCCTTATCATTTCTTGATGACTCCTTATTAATTCTAGTTGATTTCTTTTCATATCCTCATAGGTCTTATCCATCTTTTCTAGGAAATTCTTGAAAAACCTTATAAGCGTAGATTTGAACTCTATATCCAGCCGCTTTTTGTCCTCCATTTCTTTCGTTTGTGATCTATTTCGTTGTCGCATTTCGCAGCTACAGATGGGGCGGGGTTTCAGGGTGGAGCCTACAGCCTTGGCTTCCGTCAGCCCCGCCCTATGCGGGTCCTTCAGTGCTCGCTGCCGGCGCCTCTGAGAGAAAGGCGCCCTCGATCGCCTGCTGCCAGACAGTCAATGCTCTCCCCAATGAGCCCGGTATTGGGGTTCAGTTCAGTTGGAAGTGGAGTTGGAGGTGGCGTTCAGAGCAGTCTGGAGCCCCTGTCTCCTTCTCACCAGGCAATCCCGCGGCACAGCTGGCCGTCCCTTCTCTGCGCACAATGTGTGCACCGCCGGGACCTCCTTTCGCAGCTTCCCCGGGTTCCGCCTCGCAGCCCAGCTCCCTCTGGCTGAGCCTGAGTCCCCGGGGTCTGGCCTAGGGTTGGGTTCAGAGTAGTCGGGGGCCCAGCACAGTCAGAGTTTTATCTCCTTCCCGCTTGGGAAGGCCCGCCAGGCACTCCGCCTCCCTCCTCTCCAGCTCCGTCCTCTCCGCGCGCGCCGCGTGTCTCCGTACCTTCGGCTTTTCCAGCTCCTCCGCGCTTCCTTCTGGTTTTCTCTTGCTTCTCGTTGTAGAATTTCCAGTCAGTCAACTTTCCTGTAGTTCTGGGTAATGTCCGTTTTATATTTTAGTTGTATTTTATTGAAATTGTTGTGTGAGGCTGCAGCTAGGTATTCACCTGGGCGCAGCCATCTTGGAGGATCCCGGCTGAATTATTGAGTTGTGCCATCCAATAATGTGGTATGCCCTACCATTTATTTAAATCTACAAGTTCCCCAGTAAAGTTTTACAATTCTATTTATATGGGTTCTATATGCATTTCTTATGTCAAGTTTATTCCTGGATATTTTTTACATTTAGATTTTTATTTTAATGCCTTTTTAAAAATTTTTATTTGCTGGTATTTGTTGTCTTAAAGCATTGATTTTGATATAATGATTTTGTACCCAACTGCTTTATTGAACTCTCCTTACTTCTAATAATTTTTCCGTTTATTTTCTTGAGTTTCTTGGTAGACAAGTATATACAAGTAATATTTTGTCTCCTCCTTGCCAAAAGTTTTCTCCTATTTCATTCTGACATGCTGAATTGACTTAACTTTCAGGAAATAATAAGTGACCATGGATAGTGGGCACACCTGACCTTACCTGACTTTGATGGGAAACACCAGAGCTCTACCATTAAGTATGATGATACCTGAGGCAGATACTCCAACCCCCTTTCAGTTTGAGAAAGAAAAAAAGCACTCACAACAAGGCCATGCAGTCCAACATGCTGGACATAAACTGTCTCACAGAACACCAACTCGGACAAGGCTGCTCTCAGACCATGAGGAAATGAAAGCGAGTCCATACCATCCATAATTTTGTCTAAGCACAGACAGACAAAAATAGAGTCACTGTGCCACCCACAAAATACCAAACATCCCCCTCTCTTGGTTAAAATGAGTGACTATTGCCGAAACCGGTTTGGCTCAGTGGATATAGCGTCGGCTTGCGGACTGAAAGGTCCCAGGTTCAATTCCGGTCATAGGCATGTACGTTGGTTTCGGGCACATGCCCAGTAGGGGTTGTGCAAGAGGCAGCTGATCGATGATTCTCTCTCATCGATGTTTCTAACTCTCTATCCCTCTCTCATCCTCTCTGTAAAAAAGCAATAAAATGTATTTTTTTAAAATAATAATAAATGAATTGACTATTAATTCTTTACCAATTATGCCTCTTTTCTCATCCTAGCTTACCCCCCCCTTATATAAAATTTATTGAGATAAACACAGAATTCTCACCTCTACACACACGTTCCTACAGCACCCAACCTAGAGCAACCCCTTGCTTCCTTGGACTTCACAAGTCATCCTACCCAGAAGTTTTAACACCTTCATGTTGAGACAACCATGGCTCCCCATGGCGTGTGTTCTCCCTCAACACAAGTGAACCTGTTCAACTGCAGTTTGTGTTCATGGTGGTATCTGGCTGGAAGACATTAACAACAACAAAAAATTGTTTTTAATTTAAAAAAAATTAACAAGACCAAGTGAGTCAGGATCATTGGAGCAAAACTGAGAGTCTACATGAGCGAGCAAGCACCAGGCTCTTCCCCTGCATACAAAAGTTTGAGAAACACTGAACTAGGGCTGTGGACAGAGCAGCTTCTTGTCAATGAAAGCAAGTATATCACTGAGAGCCAGGAAGCACTGAGCACTAATTTAATACTAACAATTTTCTGCTCACAAAGGTAAGTAAGCACCACCTACTTCCTTGCTCAGAATGCAATGCTGAGATTGCTTCAATTCCTCTCAGTAATTGAATTTACTCTGAAAAAAATGAATCAATCCTAAATAAGATATCCAACCTTTACAAAGCATTGTTAGAATGGAACATGAAAACAGTATTAATACCTAGAAGAAAACTTTCTGAGTTAAGGATTTTGGAATTTTATAATAAATATATATAAATAAACTCCTGTAATTTCAAGTTACTATTAAAACAGTAAAGGAAAATATAATCCCCCTCCATTGGCCTATACCCGTGGTCGGCAAACTGCGGCTTGCGAGCCACATGCAGCTCTTTGGCCCCTTGAATGTGGCTCTTCCACAAAATTCCATGGCCTGGGCGAGTCTATTTTGAAGAAGTGGCATTAGAAGTTTAAGTTTAAAAAATTTGGCTCTCAAAAGAAATGTCAATTGCTATACTGTTGATATTTGGCTCTGTTGACTAATGAGTTTGCCGACCACTGGCCTATACCAACAGAGAAAGGAAAAACAGAACCACAGAATGCCCTAAAATACTGCAATAAAACAGCATGCAGGTATGCTCAGCTCCACACTCCCTCCATTCCCAAGGAAAAATGAGAGAAATAAGGACAAGTTTTCTTATCCTGTAACCTACTCATGTTCAGTATCAAACTTCCACCTGTATGACACTAGTTGGAAAGTTAACATTCCTTTCAAAAAAGCCTAGTGAGTTCGTCTGTTACTATGTCTAGAGCAGATTTCCCCTTCCATGTTGCAAACGCATAAAACATATCCAGAGGCTCAGAGAGATGGGCAATCTTACACAGACAAAACTAGCAGTTGTACTTCAATAATTCAATGACAAGTCATAAAAAGAAACTGTCTTCAATTACTGTTTGTTTTTAGGAAATAAATGGCAAACTATATACACTGTGGAGTCTGATTTCCACCATCATAGAGTGTGAATGATGGTCCGGTTTCGAAGCTGCTGAATATACTCTTTGGCGTGGGTGACTGCTGTCTTTGGTGGTTCAGGTGCAGGTGGAGGGCCTTCTACCAACTTCACAAAATAATGGCAATAAACCTTCTCCATGATCCCACAGCGGCCTCTGCCATGGTATCGAATGCGTTTCAGGTACTGGCCTCGGCCTGAGTTGGACTGAGCTAGACAGGGAAGAAAAAAGAGAATTACAGGAAATGACTGAACTCACTGGACTCTAGCTTGATCAGTTGAGCAATTTCTGCCCTTTCCTTGACTGGATTCTAAGACTACATGAGCTTTCTGGCTGGCTAGAGCAAGCTGGTCTCAAAGCAAATATCTCCTGAATACTCACTAAGGACCAGGCTCTCTTCTAGGTGTTGGAGAAACAGTGAACGAGACTAGCGAGGACCCTGGCTCCATGCAGTGTACACTACAGAGGAGACAGAACATCAACATGCTCGCTTCCGTTAGTGACAGGTGCTATGAGCAAAATAAAACTGGTGGGGTGTTGGGGGGCAACTTTACATAAGGGGGTATCAAGGGGCACCCTTGAGGAAGAGACAATTGATCTAAGATCAGAATGAATCATCCAGGAAAATGTCTACGGGTAAAGTGTTCCAGACCGAGGGAACAGCAAGTGGCACTGCGTTTGGCCTGTTTTAAGAACGGTGAAGCACAGTAAGTAAGGTGACAAGGGTACCAACAAGGGAAAGAGGTCAGAGATCAGAAGGCAGCATTACATAGAGCCCTGTAGACTGAGGTAAGGAGTTTTTATCTTATTCCAATTGTGATGAAAGCCCCTGGAACCAACAGTTCCCAAATGCTGGTTCTTGGGCTAGCTACATCAAACTAACCTAGGGACTCTATTTTAAATGCTAACGCTAAGACACCACCCCTGGAGGTTTTAATTTAGTACATTTGAGGTGGGCATGGAAATCACATCCTGAGCAAACACTACCATTCCCACGGGCCCCATTCAGATTTCCAGCCAGTTTTAGGAATTCCTGCATTACACCTGCCCCTCAACTCCCATCCCCCACTGCATGGCAAAGTTTGACCTTATAAAATTTGAAATCTTTTAAATAGTTCATAAAAAGAAATCTGTTCACCCATAGTAAATCATAGTAGTAACCACCACCTACTATTTTCTGAATTTACTTAATTACCTTTTTTAGTTAATTTAATAAGCCTTTTAAAAAGGCAAAAATCTTCAGACTACATATCGAATTCACCCACTTCAGTACTTCCCATTTGCATATTTTTACTGTGATATAACTTTATCGATACAGAGACTATATCAAAGTATGCACTTGACAACCTAGGTGCCTTTGCTTATGCCATTACCTTATTTTGACAATCTTTTCTCATGAACACTCTTTCAAAAGCCTATCTTCAAAATCTAATTTTTCTAGAAAAATCTCCATGACTATTCTAACCCATACTGACCTCTTCTCTATTCCAATACCATTTACCTATATTACTGCTTTTTGTCCCAAACCATATGCTATCTTGTGTAAGTGTTCATGTTTCCCCTATATAGTCACTTCTTCAACCAAACTTCCACTCCTTCTGTAATGCACCAGAAAGTCATGCTCCACAAGAAACAGAAATGATTTTATAATGCATCCTCTGCTAATATAATAGTTTCAATACCGGCATCTCTGATAAGTTTGCTCAAATTATAAAATAAGATCCAAAGTTTTCCAAGAGCATATAATACTAACAGTGTACATATTGATAGTTTCGTTCCAACTCAGAAGAAGGATTCATGTATCCTTCCAAAGGGCTACTACTGCCAAAGAACAAAATGACAGGCGCTAAAGGTTTGAAACTGTTGCTAAGACTCACCGCCACTAACTGGAATTAGGGCAGAGGTCGTTGTGTGTGTAGTGTGCACATGGGAGGTACTCAGATACTTTTTAAATGAAAGAGAAAACATTAAGACATCTCAAAAATAGGAACAACCTTCTAAAGGTAATGTCCAATAAGTACCATGTAGTTAAAATAATGTCAATATTTCCGATCACTAGCTTTTAGGTAATTGAGAACCTTGACATTTTAACATTAGAAACTCTCCCTTCCCTACTTCATCACTCTTAGCCCAGAAGACTGATTTACAAAGTCAGTCGATCACTTTCTTTAGTGAATCACTTTAGATGCCATGAATCATTAAGCAGTGACATTTTATTAGTCCATGTCCACTTGTTAAGGCTATTCACAGTGTCATTAGTCATCATTATAAGTTTGAAAGGGAAGTGAACTTTCAAAGTCTGTGGTCATGCAACACCAGGTATTAGCTTTAGACTGATGTCAGGCATCTGAAGGAATTACTGTATAATGAGAACATATGCTACCAAAAAAGCACTTCCTTTAAATACCTATTCTTACCTATTTTAGGTGACTGCTGACACAAAATGGTAGCCAACGAGTAGTCTTTCAAATCTTAAAAGCCTATGGAATAAAATGTCTAAGCCTTTTCCAAAAATACAATAAATAAATCAGTTTCCTACATTTTATTAGTAAGAATCACTAGGGTACTTACCCAGGCCTCTCCCCTACGGTTTATATCAGTGAGTCTGTGGTGAGGCCTAAAAATCTGTATTTTTACTAAGAACCTCAGATGATTCTTATTGGGGAAATTTGGCAAATACAAGGATAAAATGCCTGATATGGTAAGATATTTCATTTTCCACTTAATCTCTTTTTCATTCCTAATGGGATTATGTAATAAAATACTTAACAAATGAGTTTTTAAAATCCTAAGACAAATCCTGCCCTGGCCAATGTTCTTGAGTGGTTAGAGTGCTGGCCTGTGCATTGGGTTTGATTACTAATCAAGGGCACATACCTGGGCTGCAGGTTCAATCCCTGGCCCTGGTCACTCAGGAGTCAACTATCGATAATTAATGGGTCTCTCTCACAGTGATGTTTCTGTTTCTCTTTCTCTCCCTTCCCCTCTCCTCTTCCCTCCCTTCCACGCTCTCTAAAAATCAATGGGAAAATATCCTTGGGTGAGGAATTATCAAAAAAAATAAGAAAAGAAAATTATATGACAAACCCAAACTACCAGCCCTAATTCAAAGTTTTTTACACAGGATTAGATGAAAAGAGGGTACAGGTAGGGCAGAGATTTTTAAACAGAAATGTGCATAATGAGACAAATGAATTAAAGGCCCATTCATGTAAGACGGGTTAAATTTATTTTTGCTCAGTGGCAACAATGGGCTTTGCTCATTCATTTGATGGGACATGATTAAGGTCCTCCCTCTATCTTTCTCTACCACAATTATTAAAGTGGAATTAAAGACAAATTCAATTTCATTGGTATCTGAATTCCATTACCAAGTGTTGTCTATCAGCTAAGAAGCCCATACATTCCTATGAAACTGAATAACATTGATTAAATCTGATTTTATTTTCAGAAAAGCACGGGAAAGGCCACCAAGAGGTTTTAAGCAAATGGTCTTCCTCTTCATCCATTTTACTTCTTCCAATAATTCTGGGCCCTCCCAGTATTATTTACTCATGTTGCTCCCAGAGGAAAATGCTTATGATTTAACTACTGCAGCCCTGTATCTTCTAAGTTACCAGACTGATTTCCTTCTGCATCCATGCATGTTATCAGAATATATTTTAAAGTTTCAGCTTTAAAATAAAATATTTCCATTGAGAACCTTAACTCATTTGAATTTCAGAAGTAGGTGTGGTTTCAGCATCAATTCCAGATGCGTTGAAGTGAGATTTCAACAGAACCAGAGTAAGTGTCTCCATCAGGACAAAGTTTATGTGACAAAGAGGAATTCAAATGATTTTCTCTAATTGTTGAAAAATACTAAGGTACAACAAATTTTCCCCATAATAATTCAGCCCCTTTCCCTCAATTTGAAGAGTAGCAGTTCCCCCATATCTTGAATTTAAAATATCTATTAAAAAAAAGTGTAATATGCTAATTAGACTGGACATCCTTCTGTATGACCTTCCAGATGAAGCTTGGGCTGGGAGGGAAGCCCAGGTCCCAGGTGTCTGCTGGCAGCCAGAAGGAAGCCCGGGTCCCGGGTCCGGCAGCCAGGGGAAGGAAGGCCTACCTTTGCATGAATTTCATACATCGGGCCTCTAGTCTTTAGATAAAAGAATCCTCCCTATTTGTAGGTTTAGCAGATGGAGAAAATTTTGCTTAGACATCAGCATCTTTGTTTGATTACAAAACTGCTGAAGTTAGGAGTAACTGCTGCTGAAGTGAGAGAAATACATTAACTCCAGCTACTGTTCCACTTTACTGTGTGTTGGGAGGAGGCAAAGAGAACTTTGTAATAATCACTGATCTCTTTCTGGAAAAAGAGCTGTGTGAAGGTATACTACAAAAAATCCCTCACACTTTGTACAAATGCTTCTCAAAGCATCTCACTTACATGAGTTTAATTTGATGTGGAAAAAGCATGCAAAACCAAAGATAATGCTTCCGGATGTAATACCAAAGGGACGTTTACACACCTGGGTCACCTGAGTCTTCCAAGGCCCTTGGCTTCTACAATTCAACAGATCTTCCACTCTGGTCATTGGAAGGTTAATCTACAGGGCACCTTTATGGGTTAGGCACCTGGCTTGGCACATTATGAATAAAGACTTGTTTTAAGTCCCCTATGATCCTTTGGGTTGACAAATAATTCATTCAAAACAAAATCAATTATGTTCTTTCTTAGTTTTATTATGATTAAAAGACCACTCCATGTCCTACCTTGGTATCCATTACTCAATAATTATTGGCAATGGGTTTCATAATCCCAGTTTCATTATAGAACAGGTAACAATAAAGCACGGTTATTACCATTTACAACAGGTTAACATGAGCACGCTGAAGACAGAAAAGCTATTACCAGCAATTTTCACTGGCAAACGCAGCCCTAAGTAATTAGATATCAAAGACTATTATTGGATAAAGAACCTAACATCGCTATCAGAAGAGATTTCCAACACTAAAAATGTTAAAAATCTTACCTATGTATAAATTGGATCTGAATTCCACATTGTGGTCTCTCACTGCCATCTCTTGTGCTTCTAAAAGAATCTTAAACAAGGAAAAGAAAGGCATTCACATGACTGACCCTGAACTAAAGTGAAATGAAATTTCTCATTTCTTGTTATCTCTATGACTGCTAATCACATGCCTCCATTTTACAGTCAATTTTAAAAAGAGAATATCCAATGATAACAGTACCAAGGAGAAAGGGTACAGTAAGCTTTCCTTCCTCAGAGAAGAATTGCAAATGCAAGAAACACAGTCCATCCGGCCAGGTTTTAAATGGAATGTGTGAGCTGTGAAGGAGCAGATAGCACCCTTCATAATGAATATTATGTCTTTGACTCTGAGACTTGCCAAATAGTTCAAGAAGCTCAAGAACTAAATCTTATTCAAAATACTTAAACTTCAAAGCCACCGTAACCATTAACAATATCAGACAAGTAGAAGAAAACATACTTGAAATTTTCCTGGAGGAATTACTACATTTAAACTTCATACATATTTTGAATTAACTTCCTCCAGAGCACATTTTTAGAAACCGGAAAATTGTCAGAAATAACAGAAGCCAGATCTTTCACTCCTTTAGATAAAGAATATAGTACAAAACTGGTACACAACAGACATTCAGTAATTGCATTCTGAATTGGATTAAATATAGGCACTGAATTATATGGAACCTCTTAGAAGTCTAAGTCCATCAATCGTTAACTATTCACCTACTAAACTGAAAAGATAAGATTGACTCTAGGTGAGAGACTTAACTGCAATATAGAAAATAATGCTGATAACCCTGGATATTCTCAAACCAGCTTTTTGAAACAAGAGTCAGTGAATTTACCATTAGTCTATTTATACATAATAAATCAGCTATACTTAGAGCTGGGTCTTTAAAGATTATATAATCCAACCCCACCTGTTTTACAAACAAGAAAAATGGGACCAGACAATTATCACAATGGAAATATGAGAGCCGAAACCGGTTTGACTCAGTGGATAGAGCGTCAGCCTGTGGACTGAGGGGTCCCGGGTTTGATTCCAGTCAAGGGCATGTACCTTGGTTGCGAGCATATCCCCAGTAGGGGATGTGCAGGAGGCAGCTGATCGATGTTTCTCTCTCATCGATGTTTCTAACTCTCTATCCCTCTTCCTTCCTCTCTGTAAAAAATCAATAAAATATATTTTAAAAAATAAATAAAAAATTAAAAAAAGAAATATGAGAAAAAGGACTGGACTCCAAGTCTCCAGAATCCCAGTCCAATGCTCTTTCCACTCAACTAGTTAGAAAATCATAAACTCTCAGTTGTGGAATTGACCAAAAAAATATATCAAGCCCAAATCATTAAAATGTATCACTATCACTTCAAATATAAATGTCTGGTGCAAATAAAAGCATCACAAAAAAAAAATGCTTAAAGCACATGACATTCCCAAGGTTTAAGGACATTAATGAAACTGAGCATCCTAAATCTGTATTATATAAACCAGGCTTTAACACCAGGGAATTCAGAATTTAGGCTGAGCTTACTAACACAAGACAGCTATACACCCCTCACCTCAAATCTTAGTTTACCTCTTTAATTATTTGGGCTCCTTTTTTGTCACTGAATTCCAATTGAGCCAAAGCCTGATCAATGGACATTCCTCGAATCTAGAATTAAGGGATGACAAGACAAGAGAAAATAAGCAAATTAATTTACAAAATCAATGTTCTCTTTTCAATGAAAAGCAAGTCTTTTTTTTTTTAATTCTTTATTGTTAAAGTATTACATATATCTCCTTTTTCCCCAAATGACCTCCTCCCCCCACCATTCCCCCCCAACTCCTGCTCTCCAGCACAGGTCCTCAACCCCCTACTGTCTATATCCACTGGTTATGCTTATATGCATGCATACAAGTCCTTCAAAAGTCTTACATAATCTAAATAACTTCTAAAAAATAGCTAAGTAGTTATACGTTGATTATATCTCAATAAAACTGGGGGGCATTTTTTAAATTAAAACTAGTGGCCCAGTGCATGGATTTGTGCACATTGAAAGGATATTAATTAGAAAAAATATTTTAATAAAGCTATTCACCCTTTCTTCATAATAGAAGTGTCAGAGATGAGAGAAAATTAGTAAAATGTATATGAAAGTAATATATAAATTGATTAACAGTAACATGATATAACAAAGACATGATATAAAAACAATAAACATGATATAAAAACAATAAAAACATGACATAAAAAAATGATATAAAAACAATGATAAAAACAACTGATAAATTGATTCAACTTATTCTAATTATCTCCCTGTATACCACATCAAGAGTAAAACCAGCCAAAACCGGTTTGGCTCAGTGATAGAGCATCGGTCTGTGGACTGAAGGGTCCCAGGTTCGATTCCAGTCAGGGGCATATACATTGGTTGCGGGCGCATGCCCGGTACGGGGTGTGCAGGAGGCAGCTGGTCGGTGTTTCTCTCATCGACGTTTCTAGCTCTCTAGCTCTCTCCCTTCCTCTCTGTAAAAAATCAATAAATAAATATATATATATATATATATATATATATATATATATATATATAAAGAGTAAAACCATTTCCAGAGTGTTTGACTAATTTCCCTTGTGATGAAGTATTTACAACTTTAACATTAACATCACAGACTCTTGGAACTGGAGAGAAAGCAACATATAACTGACCATGTCTGAAAACAGGTTCAGGTAGGAATATTCCTACTCGTATAGAGTTTGTTCTTATGATTTATTAATAGTATTCGCAAATGCTGGCATCACCGGAAACTGTCTTCAAGTTAATTCAAATGGGAGGCCAGTGTCAGACAGGGACAAATACCACGCATGCGCGAGTCAAGTTTTATTTTTAAATTGCCAGTGTGCATCATATGTGCCAACCGGCCGTTTGGTCGGTCCGTTGGACAGATGAACAGTCAGTCACTTACTTTTATATATATAGATAGCTAACTAAATGCAGGCAAAAGAAAAGTTTGAGAAGGAACACCACTGTCAAAATCAAGCTTAAACTTGTTAACCATAAAACCTAGATTGTTAATAGTTTAAATAACATTAAAAGAGAGCAGACATGACAGAGAGAGACCACAGGTGGGTTAGGACCACACTAGGCAATAAAGACACCTCTTTCTCTTACAGGACAAATGCATTACATGTATATTTGCTGCTTTTGTCTCTTTACATGCCTACATTTCATTTTCCCGAGAAAAAAATATACAAAGCATCAGTTTTGAAACAGGTTGAATCAACTCTTACAGGTGAATAAACTTGCTTTCTGAATTCTCTGGTTATAGCCAGATTCCTGATGCCTTTGTTTTAAATATTTACGTACCCAATGTGACACAGTTTCTCAGAAGAAAGGTAAAAATTAAGCAAATGACTCATCGCTAAGCAATCATTTTTGGACTACCTACCAACTGTCTGAAAATGCAATTATACTCCTCACCTAGTAGAGGCAAATTTTTTTTATTTTTTAAATCCTGTGGGAGAAGTCATAGCTTAGATTCTTTAAGTATTATATAGTAATAGTTATTTTAGCTTACCAATTTTGCCAAATACCACATCTTGTCTTTGCTGTACTTTATTTGTCTTCGACAATGGTAGATTTCCTTACAAATAGAAAATAATAATAATAATAATAATAATAATAAAGCTTTAGCAAATTTATACCACAATTAAAATAACGGTGTTGCTCAGTGGTTGATCCAGGAGGTCACAGTTCAATTCCCGATTCCAGGTCAGGGCACATGCCTGGCTTGCAGCCTCAATCCCCAATGAAGGGTGTTTAGGAGGCAGCCGATCAGTGATTCTCTCTCATTGCTGATGTTTCTGCCTTTTCTTTCCCTCTCCCTTCCTCTCTGAAATCAATAAAAAAAAAATTTAATGACAGTAACATAGTGTTAATAAAGTTTTGACTTTCTATGCCTAATGAAAATTCTGTCATAAGAAATAAAAACCTTATTAAGATTTGCAGATTCTGCTGAAACCGGTTTGGCTCAGCGGTAGAGCGTCGGTCTGTGGACTGAAAGGTCCCAGGTTCGATTCCGGTCAGGGGCATGTACCTTAGTTGCGGGCACATCCCCGGTAGGGGGTGTGCAAGAGGCAGCTGGTCGATGTTTCTCTCTCATCGACGTTTCTAACTCTCTATCTCTCTCCCTTTCTCTCTGTAAAAAATCAATAAAATATATAAAAAAATAAAAAAATAAAAAATTTGCAGATTCTGCCGAAACCGGTTTGGCTCAATGGATAGAGCGTCAGCTTGGGGACTGAAGGACCCGGGTTCAATTCCAGTGAAGGGCATGTACCTTGGTTGCGGGCATATCCCCAGTAGGGGATGTGCAAGAGGCAGCTGATCAATGACTCTCTCTCATCGATGTTTCTAACTCTCTATCTCTCTCCCTTCCTCTCTGTACAAAATCAATAAAATATATTAAAAAAAAAAAAAAAAAAAGATTTGCAGCTTCTTTTTCCCTACACAAAATTATATATTTTCCAAAGTCTGGCTCTGTTAAAAAAAAATTACTAAGGGAAAAATAGAAAGTACAAAATGACGAGTTTGTGCCAATATATACTATATTTTTATCCAGAGGAAAATATTTTTAAAACATGTAGCTGGCTAAAAGGACAAAAAGAAAAAGAATAATAAGAAAAAAGTTTCCTATTAGTGAAGAGAACAATGTGAAATGGACAAAATAACTGTTTTCACCAGTATTCTTGGTGTTTGGTCAAAAGCACAGGTTCTGGAATCAGATTGCCTGAGTTGGAATCCCACCCTGTTTCCCCGAAAATAAGACAGTGTCTTATATTAATTTTTGCTCCCAAAGATGCGCTAGGTCTTATTTTCAGGGGATGTCTTATTTTTCCATGAAGAATATGGTACACATTTATTGTTAAATGAAAATAAAGGAATTTATTACCTGTATACGGTACGGTAGTACTGTAGTTGTCAACACAAACCAGACAAACTGTGAATCCTACAGTATCAAGAATTTACTCATTTATTCAATGATAATCATGTCATCATCCTCTGGAACATCATCATAACAATCCAATTCCTGAATTTCCTGGTGAATTTCTTGTGACTCCATTTCTTTCAGAATCGTGGACCAAATCTCTCATGTTTAGCCTAGGGGGCCTTATTTTCGGGGGGGGATGCCTTATATTTCACTCAGAAGGAAACCTGTAAGTAGGTCTTATTTTCGGAGGTCTTATTTTCGGGGAAACACGGTAGTTCTACTATTTACCAACTACAAAACCCAAGTTATTTGATCTATCTCGGCCTAAATTTCTTTAAAATGAAGATAATATTACCTCCCTCATAAAATTGTAAGAATGAAATAAAATAACATGTTCCAAAAAAAGCACTTCACATTGCCTACCACACGGTAAGATCTTAATATAGTTCACAAAGCAATTATCAAATTTTATTTGATCTAACTCTATGAGTTGGGAGAGGAAACATTTTATAATCCTTTCACAAAGTGAAAACCAGAGAAATACAATGTCTAGCAGATATATCTTTGAAGTTCCCCTTCTGACTCTAAAACCCGCATTCTTTCCAGCATTATATGCTATTAACTCACCTATACAGTAAATTACATAAAGTTATTTATGTTAGGATATAATGTGCAAAATCGTTATTTGAATGAAGCAAGAGATTTAAATTATGAAACATACTAGTAGCCCTGTGCATGAATCCGTGCACCAGTAGCTCTCTACAGGCCTACCTGCTCTGTGCCCGCTGCCCAGGGACTCTCCACGGCCCAGAGATCCATCCGGACCGGGCATGGAACACCTGCCTCGTCACCACCCCGGCTGGCCAGAGGCCCATCCGCGGCTGGGCGCGGAAGCTTGCCTTGTCGCTGTGGCGATGAAGCAAGCATTCCACCAGGCCACTCACACTGCCCGCTCTCAGCTCCACTCCCTCAAGACTGGGAGACTCTGGAGGTGCTGAGAGGACTGGGTGCTGCCATCTTTGTGATGGAGTGATGGTTGATTTGCATATTACCCTTTTATTAGATAGGATAAACCAGTAGCTACATAATACCACTTTAAAAAATGTAGGAAACAGCCGAAACTGGTTTGGCTCAGTGGATAGAGCATTGGTCTGCAGACTGAAAGGTCCCGGGTTCGATTCCGGTCAAGGACATGTACATTGGTTTCGGGCACATCTCCAGTAGGGGGTGTGCAGGAGGCAGCTGGTTTATGATTCTCTCTCGTCGATGTTTCTAACTCTCTATCCCTCTCCTTTCTTCTCTGTAAAAAATCAATAAAATATATTTTTTTAAAATAATAAATAAAAAATGTAGGAAACATTTGACAAGGCAAGCAATAACAAGGAGATCTGAGAATTTTCTAACATTCTGACTCCTGCAGGAAATTTTCAAATGCCTTAGAAACAGCAGTTTTCTCAAGTGGCCATCTTTTAATCTGTAGCATATTTCATTTCAGTTGCAATAGAAGCTGACAGGCTGAAAACTGTAGCAATACTCTAATTATATTTTCAGCAATAAAGTGTCCTGAGGAGCACAGGAGAGGAAAGAAAAACTGTCATGACTGATAATATTAATTTGCAAAAATTAACACACTCAAAAACGTATTTTATATAAAAACGTTTCAATTCTTGGTACCCCACGGTGGATTATCTTTAAACCTGAATTGTAGATAATTATCTTCAAATTTTGTAAAAAAATATATTGTAATCCTGGCAAGGGCATGGGAAAAGAGGAATCAAGAGTTTACAAAAAAAAGGAGAAAGTTATTTAATCTCCTTTTCTAAAACTAAAAAACTGTACATTTACTTTACGCAGGTGCTTTGCCTAAGGATACCTTCTTAAGATAAGCCTTTAAAAATGTTTGCTGAACTGAATTATTTATAATTAACATAGTAATTCTATTTCTAAAGTACTTACCTCAGTTTATTAAGGATTCAAATGTTCCCTTCTTGTTTATGCTATCACTACTTGCTTAAACTATTTTTTTTTAAATTGACTTCAGAGAGGAAAAGAGGAGAGGAAAAAAAAAAAAAAATCAATGGGAAGAGAGAATCATTGATTGGCTGCCTCCTGTACACCTCACACTGGGAAGTGAATCATAACTTCCTAGTTCATAGGTTGACGCTAAACGACTGAAACACACCAGCCAGGCATAAACTTTTAAACAGATGTAAATATATTCCACAGCAAGTTCACATTAAGCTGGATATCAGATGTATCTCAGACAAGCAGTCACAAGCAATGTGAAGAGAGTAAAAGAATTCTGAGCAAATAAAGATTAAGATAAAACTCAATTAAATTCAAACCTTATGTTCAAAGATTTGTGAATTATAAAACAACCAAGTGTCTATATTCAAATATAAAACATTGGAGAACCATATATGATTTAAATATTGGTCAATATTGGTCAAGTCATTCTTGCCCACTCTTCATACTCCATTATCAAGAATTCATTAGCAAACCCCTGAAATAAAAAAAATCAATAAATCTCAAACTACTAGCTTAGAGTTAAGGCCCCTACCCAGGAGATTAATAATGTAAGGCAAACAAAAAGGAACAACAAATACCATCTTTTAAAACTTCCAAAGAGATAAATCCAATACATTTTCTTTATCAATTAAAGGATTATGCCAACTGCTGTATAATTTTTTCTTTTCTTAACATGGAATAATAAATCACTGCCAGCCACAGAAGAGTGAGAGGGCTTTATCAAAATTTAGAAATTGGTTCTATCACAAACTTACTGCTGGTCTCCGAGGTTCTCCAGGCAGTTGTGGAGGATAAACAATTTTATTCTTCTTCTCCCATTTTCGAGAAATGTCAAGAGAAGCACTTGTATGGATGTGTGACTGGGGTAAAACACTCTGAGACGGAAGAAGCCTGTAAAACAACAGACATTTAGCATCTTTTTGCAGAGCCTATACATCTTCTGAACCATACCGTTTCCATTTTGACAGAAACTATGTAAGGATCACAAATGGAAACATTCTAATCATATTCATTAACAAAAACACTGCTTTTACATAAAAAAAAAAAAAAAGCTCAAAGAGCTAGTTTATCAAAGGCTAGGAAGAATGAAAAGTTAATAACTTGAATAAAGTCAAATAATAAATATTCACCCAAGATCTCTTGCTCTCACTGACGAATAAATACTGACTCTGTATCATAAGTCAGCTCAGTCCTTCAGCAGATTGAAAGGCATCTGATGTGTGTTCCTCAACTTTGTTGAGTAAGAAGACCAATGACATTATTTTATAAACACTAAGAAATTAATGGATAAAGTTGGCATGATGTGTCTTCTGATAAAAGAGCATGCCACCCACCATCCATGAATAGTTTTTCCACAAAAAATTAACCTAAATTGATAAAGCCTCTAGGTTCAATACAGGAAATAGAGACAGGGGATCATATCAAACAACATCAAGAGAATGCACTCAGCCAAATCCAAGCTGTACAAAACTCTACAAGACAAACAACCAATTTTCTTCAACAGATAAGCTCTAAGAGGAAAAAGAGAGCTGAATTAAGAACCTACAGATTAAAGATGTAATGGAAATAATTAATTTTAGCTGAAATCGGTATGGCTCAGTGGATAGAGCGTCGGTCTGTGGACTGAAAGGTCCCAGGTTCGATTCCAGTCAAGGGCATGTACACTGGTTGCAGGAACATCCCCAGTAGGGAGTGTGCAGAAGGCAGCTGATCAATGGTTCTCTCTCATTGATGTTTCTAACTCTCTGTCCCTCTCTCTTCCTCTCTGTAAAAAAATCAATAAAATATATATATATTTTTTTTTTTTTTTTTTAATCTAGATTTGAACATCGAGGGCAAGTCTGACATCCTCTGTGTTCCAGCACCAAGGACAACACATAGCATAGGGATAATGAGTAAATATTTAACACAGACTTCAATATTCAAAGTTGTTGTATATTTGCAGACTCTCTCACAATACATACATGCAATTTTAGCCCTCAAACCATTCAGGCTAAATAATTTTTTTGAATCGACTCTCCCAGTGGCTCATTTCTCCTACTCTACCTCACGTAACCATTTATATCATAATATCAAGATCAGTGCCATCTACGTACCTGACAAAAGCTGTACATTTGCCATCCACATTTAGGTTCCAAAGTTTTAAACGAAAAGTATAAAAGTAGGATACATGATATCAGAGGGCAGGATTTCCTAATGAAACTCTAAGCCAGGTGATGAGGGCAGAGAGTAAGAAGTCAAGCAGACCTGGGTCTAAATTCTAACTCTAATTTACTAAGAGAATGGCCTTGGGGAAGCCACATAACTTTCTAGATCTCAGGTTTCTCAACAGTAAAAGGAGTAATTACAGTAATTACTTCATAGGCTTCTTCAGAAGCTCAAATGAGATACTGTAAGTTAAATACTTAACCTGACACTTCATAGGGTTCAGTAAATTGTAGGTGTTATTTTTAGATTGAGGAGAATAGCTACCTCACTTGATTGTTAGTAGATTAATAATTAGTGTGCTATATCTTACAGTATCAAGGAGATGATAAACACTGATAGCTAATATTAATTAAATTAGGCCCTCTGAGCCGTTAATTCTTTCCTGTTCTCCAAAAATATAAATCCCGTGAACTGTAAACTTTATATTACACCCATTCAAATATTCCCATGTTAAGTCATACCATTTATGTTTCTACAAAGTTGTAATTAACTTTGGGTACATGAAGGACCTCTTTGGGCTTCATTTTCTTTATCTATGAAAAGAGCAATTGGACTATATCATCTTTAGGATCTCTCCAAACCTTAATTCTGCTTCCAGTCCAAATATACATAAGAAATTAAACACATTATGAATTAATAATGACAAAGCTTTCTGAATACCTACAATACTTTCAGTGCTCAAATCATTCATAAAATGAATTATCAAGTAAAAACATTAAGTCATTATTCCAAATTGGGTACTTAATTCAGAAGTGTATTAAATCCGAAGTTCTTCTGTGCCCTCTCCTGGCCAGCTGTTAGAATAACACTAAGTTAAAAAAATAAAATGAGGTAATCATCAGGTAGAACTGAAAATAAAATTAATTCAAAACTGAGTCTTTTATAACACCTTTTTATGTGAGAAAGCCTAGGAAGGGTCACTTGAGAAAACTCGAGAAAAGGAAGTTGCTGGAATTAAATGGCATGGGTTACTGCTATTGTTTCCCAACGAACATTAATTTTTAAAAATTGATTTAGAGAGAAGAAACATTGATGTGATAGAGAAACATCAATCAATTGCCTCCTGTACACACCCCGACCAGGGACTGAGCCCGGGTATATGCCCTGACTGGAAATCAACCCCACAACTTTTCAGTGTATGGGATGACCCTCCAACCAAGCCATACCGGCCAGGGCAAACATTACATTTTAAGTTTGCCTGGAGGTCCAGTTTACTGTTAGCGTTCTAAAGAATCAAAGTTAAATCTTTTTTTTTTTTAATTATGTTTTTACTGTTGATTTTAGAGAGAGTGGAAGAGGGAGAGAAACATAGATGTGAGAGGGTAACACAGATCAGCTGCCTCCTGCATGCCCCCCACTGAGGTTAAGCCCACAACCCAGGCATGTGCCCTGACTGGGAATTGAACCTGTGACCTCTCAGTGCATGGTACTATGCTCAACCAACTGAGCCACACCAGCTAGGGCTGTTAAACTTTTTTTTTTTTTTAAACCAGTAAAGAACATCTAGGATCAACTTTTATCATTTTGAAATTTAAGCATGACCGCTAATAATAGCTTTTCATTTACTAGGAATCCGAAATCCTGTTAACTTCACTGTAAGCAGGTGAAGGTAAGCAGGTGAACCAACTCTCCAGAGTGCTTGTCCACACAGCATGCGCACAGTGGCCCGCAGTACGGTGAGACTGCCAGAGCCACGCAGAAAGCAGGTGGTAGACTAAAACTAGCCTAGGAAGCATGTCCTTACTCTCATTATTCTGGTGTTTCCTGTCTCCCGATACTTGAAGATTACATTTAAGTATCACTTTTTAAATTCTACCCACAGTCTTTATGCATTGAGGAGTAGTAGATATAAGCCAAACTATAGAATTAAGTTAATTCCGATAAGACAGAGACTCTGAAACTTTCCAAAGTCACAATTGAAAGAACTAATACTTCCTATTTATTATTCAAAGTTCATTTTGAAATTCAGAACAAGATATACCCAAGTCCCAAGCGAAGATAATACTGGCCTCAGGCTCAATCTTGATAATATCATGCTATATGCATCAAGGAAAAAATTCTTTGTTCCAAATTTACTTCTAATAACATTAAGTTAATCCTACACTTGAGACTGAATAAAAGAACAGCCTCCCTCTTGCCTCATTTAAATCTAAAATAAAGGGCTGAAATGATATGCATATTCTCATAACTCAATATAATCTTACTTTGTCAAAGTCAAGGACAATCAAACAAGGAAACAGCTTAGCAAATGAGAAAAGTAAAATTCCATCAACTTTCAAAGTTTCCCAACCTCTGCACTACTGACATTTGGACCTTTGTTGTGGAGGGCTGTCCTGTGCCTTCAAGGATGTACAGTAGCATCCCTCATCTCTACCCACCAGATGCCAGTAACAAACCCTGCCTCAACTGTGAGAAACAAAAGTGTCTCCAGTGTTGCCAAATGTCCCCTGGGTGGCAAAACTGCCCCCAGTAGAAAGACACTATTAGCTAAAGAGACAGTCAAAAACAAACAGTAAATTTTTGCAGAACAGGGAGCATGTACCAAAAGGTTCTGTTATTATGTTATACATATGTGGGGTTAGTAAGCCAGATTTTCTATGTAAGCCAAGGTTAGCTAAATGCCTAAATTTTACATTCTTCAACCGAGGATATGTCTTTTAAGTTTTTTAATTTATTTGAGACAAAGAGAGATAGAGACAGAGACAGAAAGAGAGAGAAGGGGGGAGAGAAACATTGATGTGAGAGAGAAATATCCATCGGCTGCCTCCCATACACGCCCCGACCGACCCAGGCTCAAACCTGCAACCTGGGTATGTGCCCTCACCTGTTATTAAATGCTTGGCCTTTCAGTGTATGAGATGATGCTCCAACCAACTGAGCCATACAGCTAAATTTTATGTTTTTAAAAAAATACATATTTTTATTGATTTCAGAGACAATTTTTAGTGATTTCAGATTTTTAGTGATTTCAGGCCCTTAAGGTTGCCTGGCATTTCTATTATATTTCCTTTATCCATTTCATCTCCTAGCCCCTAAAAACAAATATCATACCTTTTCTTGCTAGTCAAACCTCCCATATCTCCTCTCTCACTCTCAATCTCAACTGTTAACAATGCTTATTTAGCTAAGAAAAATCAAACAATTGGAAGATAATTTCCACAAGCTCCCACCATCTAATCCATATACCTACCCACATCCATGTCCATATACACTTACTACCTTCTCTCGTTATTATGCATGAAATGTATACACCCTAGCAAGTACCACTCTCATCGCTTCTCCCCAGATCCCATTCCTTCCCACTTAGTATTCAAGTACATTGCTCAGGCACTTCTTTCTTCCCTCTTTCTATCAGAAATGTTTTCCTCTCTATTGGGTCACTCCCATCAGCAAAAATATAAACTCAAATAGTCTCCTAACTCAAAACCAACCCTCCCCTAACCAAGTTCTCTAACTACTGCTGTAAAACTTTGTTGTGTGCTGCGCTAGTCATGACTGTGTCCTCATTGCAGAGTGAGCACTACAGCACCTCATCCATCACAAACAGACGCTTATGTTTAGCTGTGATGTTCCAGTGCAGATTCCTAGCTTAAGGATATTAAATTACAAACACAACTATGGCTGTAATATGTATTTTTCTGGGAAGATGCTTGTGGCTTTCCTCATGCTCTCAAAGAGGTCTGTGACTCAAATTTAAGAACCATTGTCTTAAAAAGCAAGAAATCACAATCCCTCGGATCACAAGGTAAGATTTAACTAAGAGAGCACAAAATCAACGTGGTTGTCAAATCTTGCTGGTCATGCAATCAGAACACTTGAAAGCAGAGATAAATAACAACCAGAGATATTTTCTACCACTAAAATGTACTCTTCATTTTAAACTTAAGTCACCTCTTCCCAAAAACCTTCCCTGACAAACCTCTTCTGTGCCCATCACTCTGTCCCTCCCAAAGCGTGACAGGACACTATTTAAAGCCAGATGATTTTTTTGTTTAGATCCTAGATTTGCTATGTATTAACTGTATAACCTTCGTAAGTCACAAAATTTCTCAAATGCATCCATCAGTGAAATGGGAGACTTGGAAAATGTCCGTTTGCTACCAAGTACAGCCTATGGAAAGGCTTCATCTGCTCAAGCCGTTAGATGAGGGATGCACTCTAAATTGTCACAAGCCCTAACACACTCTCTCATTTTACAAAAGCCACTTCTAATTAATTTATTTCTAGCACGTATATGCAATTAGTTTCCAAACACTGAATTAGATGATCCTTAAGATTTTACAGTTGCCAAAACTGGTTTGGCTCAATGGATAGAGCGTTGGTCTGTGGACTGAAAGGTCCCAGGTTCGATTCTGGTCAAGGGCATGTACCTTGGCTGCAGCACATCCCCAGTAGGGGGTGTACAGGAGGCAGCTGGTCAATGTTTCTCTATCATCGGTGTTTCTAGCTCTCTAACCCTCTCCCTTCCTCTCTGTAAAAAAAAATCAATAAAATATATTTCTAAAAAAAGATTTTACAGTTATCACAGGCAGTATTTATACCTTTCTACTTAGTTTTCATATAATCATTTCCCCATTATAGAATTATATAATTTCAGAACTAAAAAGAATCTTACAAGATTATCTAGAAAATTCCAACCATCTTATATGACATTGATGAAAAGACTGAAGCCAAACTAAGTTATTTGGCTTAGATCTTCCCAATATAAATCATTGCAGGACAATTAAATCAACAAACATTAATAAAATCCTTACTTTGTTCAGGACCCAATGCTGGAGCTACAAAGAGGAACAAAAACTGACCCTATTTGTCCAGGATTCTCAGCTAGTAAAGGGCCCAGATACACGCACATGAGATGACTACTCAAGGCACACATGCTAAGAGGAAGGAGAAATCAATGCCTTTCATTTTTAGTGAGACTCGAGAAAAACCTTCTGAAGGTGCAACATGTGAATAGGGGGTTAAATACCAAGAACTGCTGTTGTAGACAGGAAGTGAGGGCACACGTGAAAAAGCCAAGAAGCAGTGGTGCACAACATATTCAGAAGACAGTAAATTAATCTGCATGGCTGCAGTAGAGAGAGAAGAAAACCTAAGAAAGCAAAGTGCAGACAAACCCTTAGGGCTGTAACCCCTATTTTCTTTGTTAGCCCACCTCTTCATCCTCTTGAAACAAGAAGCTAGGATGGAGGAAAAACAAACAAACAAAAAACAAAAACAAAACAAAACAAAAACAAGAACTCAGTAATCATTTATAACGACAAAAGCAGCAACTGCAGTTAAAATGTAAGGTGGATGTCGAAACCAGTTTGGCTCAGTGGATAGCGTGTCGGCCTGCAGACTGAAAGGTCCCAGGTTCAATTCCGGTCAAAGGGCATGTACATTGGTTGCAGGCACATCCCCAGTGGGGGGTGTGCAGGAGGCAGCTGGTTGATGTTTCTCTATCATCGATGTTTCTAGCTCTCTATTCTTCTCCCTCCCTCTCTGTAAAAAATCAATAAAATATATATATTTTTTAAATGTAGGGTGGATGATTATATAACATGCACCATCTTAAACATTATCTCTTAAAATAATCTATGAGATAGGTACTACTATTCCTCTCATAGCAAGAGAACTGAAACTTAGAAAGGCAAGTAACTTCCCCCAAATCACACACTTAAAAAGTAGATTTGCACCCAACTTTTCTGTATCCAAAGCCTATATAAACCAAAATAAAGGCTGATCAGAAAATTTACAGATTATCAATCTCCAAATATCAATTGCTGTACTGAAAAAGAAAAAAAAGAAAAAAAAAAAGGGAGACCCCTAACCTTAAGGAATGCTTTGGTCCTGAGATCAAATGACATTGTGAATACTCTATATATAAAAAGCCAGTGTCCATGACGACCAAACGACCTCCTCTCGGTCCCTCCCCTCTCTCCCCGGCCCGCATAGAGCAGACAGGGGTGGGGCAAGACTGGGAACTGGTGAGTGGGCTGAACGGCTGATCTCTTGATCCCTGTCCCCGGCCAGCAGGCTCCAATGGATCAGTGATGGTGAACGGGAGAATTGGGGTGGGTTGCGGGAGGACCAGGTTGGCTGTCAGGCCACCAGCCCATCCCCGGCTGCTCGGCTGCTTGGGGGCTTAGGCCTGTGGGAAAGCAGGCACCAGTGACTTCACCTCTATGCATGTGTGCCAGGACAGCAGCTTATGGAACACGCTGCCCACTCGGGGCCACTCATGCCAGGGCAGCTAGGTCACGGGCACTCCCCACAGCTTCCATCAGTTCCTCAAGCCCCTGCAGCAGCGGCAGTGGCAGCGGTGCCCATGTGAATGGCCCCAAGCAGGCAGTGCGTTCCATCAGAGGTGAAGTCGCCGGCACCTGCTTTCCCGCACCTGAGCTCCTGAGCAGCTGGGGATGAGCTGGTGATCCCAACAGCCTGACAGCCTGTGGCAGAGGCGGCATTCGGCCTGGGGACTGGTGAACAGGCAGAAGATGGCCCTGATAGCAGGGGGTAAGGCCCTAGGGACCCAACCCGCACGATTTCGTGCATTGGGCCTCTAGTCCTATATTTTAAAAGCCTAATATGCTAAGTGTCTAGTCGTTTGATCAGCCATTCAACCAATCAAAGTATAATATGCTAACAATATGCTAAAGATGCTCAATCGCTCGATATGATGAGCACTGACCACCAGGGGGCAGACAGTCAACTGGTACACCAGTTGCTATGACATGCACTGACCAACAATGGGCAGACACTCCGACCGGTAGATCAGCTTGCTGCTGGGGTCCAGCCCATGGGGATTGAGTGAGAAGGGACGAAGATGCCCTGGAGCCCTCCTGTGTCCCTCCCCAGCTCTGATTGTGCACCGGTGGTCCTTCAGCCTGGCCTACACCATCTTGCAATCTGGGACCCATCAGGGGATGTTGGAGAGCTGGTTTGGGCCCCATTCCACAGGCCAGGCCAAGGGACCCCATTGGTGTACAAATTCATGCACCGGGCCTCTAGTATAGTATAAAGCTTCAAAAACTCCTGTAACTGAGGGTCCTTAGGCAAGTTTTCTCTTTGGAGGGCTCCAAGTTCCTTGTCTGAAAAATGGGGACGTACACTACATAGGATGGTACAAGAACGAGATAATGCATAAAAAACAAGTAACACAACCCCAGGTAGGAAGTCAGCGATGCTGTCTGCAACACTGACCCTATGGGTGTAAGCAGGGCACTGAAGTGGGAACTAGGAAGGAGGACTGGGACCCTGGAGGTGTAAGTAGGGCACTGGAGGGGGAAGGTAGGAAAGTGGGGCACTGAGGCATGGTTAGGAGAGTCTGACCATGTTCAAAAAGATCAGAAGGAACTGTTTAGAAAAGACATCGCAGCCCTAGCCCATTTGGCTTAATGGACAGAGTGTTGGCCTGTGGACTGAAGGGTCCCAGGTTCAATCTGGCCAAGGGCACATGCCTTGGTTGAGGGCTCCATCCCCTCAAAGGGGACAGTTCTGGAGGCAGCCGATCAATGGTTCTCTCTCATCATTGATGTTTCTCTCTCTCTCCATCTCCTTTCCTCTCTCAAGTCAATAAAGGATAAAAAAAAAAAAAAAAAAAAGATATTGCAGGTAATCCTAATTCCCTGAGGGCTGCCGGAATAGCGGGGTGTCACCTCCATGACCTTAGAGCCTAAAACAGAGCCCGCACAGAGGCTCCTAGTAACTGAAGGACTAGTCAGGCCGTGGCCCTTCTGCAACTCTGAGCCACTTACCCCAGGACCAGCTTCCGCCTCAGGTTCTGCATCCATAACGCACCTGCAACGGCAACACAACCCGTCAACGCAAACTCCCACCGCCTCTCCTTCCTTCCGCCACTTAACCACTAAAATCCTCACCCAGGCGGTCCAGCACAGCCGCCGCCATCTTTCTCCTCCCCTCTACGGAGGCCTCCGAGCTCAGTCCGCGTCTGGACAGAACGCATGCGCGATCCTCCGCTCCTCCCCACTCACTTCCGCCCCGCCCCCGCCCCGGGCGGAAACCCGGCAGCCCCTACACCGGCGCTGTTGTCATGGAGACCACCAATACGCAGCCAAGGTACTTAATTTAAGGCGTAAAGGAATGAATGAATGACTTAACAAAGGCCGAAAACTGTGGTAGTCCGTTTCCGGAAATTCATCGGGATCCAGAAAAATTAACAAAACCTCACCTCACAAAAGGTCTGGGAAAGAATTAGGGAAACAGAGACCTTGAACAAGCCACCTAATCTGGATGGGCTCAGTTTTCCAGCCAGTAAAATAGAATAATGATCCTTACAGCAGTTTTAAGATCTCTACTGGAGATCACGTGGAAAGATCAGCTCAAAAACAAACAGCTCAAATATAAAGTATGACGTCCTAATCCTTATTAATTTCCAGGCTGACCTACAAGAGATTAAAGTTACTTATCACCGGGCACTTGCTACTGTATATGTCCTGCAAACATTTCACTAAATCTCAGTATTCCTCACGGCAATGCAACAAGGCATAGATTATCATTTTCCTTCTTCAAATGAAAAAGAGACTTAGGATAAGCTGAAGTCTCTTTAGATAACAACTGTCAAAAAAAAAAAAAAAAAACAGTAGTCAATCGAAGGCTTTATGCCTCCAAAGTTAGTACCCTTACCTTCTCTGTATTAAGATATCTCGGGTTTCGGTGTGCCAGATACCCCATGCAAACAAGCAATCCAGGAGCAGGGGAGTGTAGTGCAGAAATGTGAGCACTTTAGCCTATTTGAGTTGGAAGGAAACTTCCATTCTTTTTCCTCCACAGCACTTGGCGCACACATACAGTTTCACAGAGTTGGCATTCGATCAATGGAGTCACTCTACTATTTTTCTCCCTGGGTTTCCACCCAATAGCACAAACTTTCCTTTTTAAGTTCTGATCGGAATTTCTACTTATTTTTTAGATATATCCTTATAGCTATCTTTCAAGCTTTTCATCTCATGGCACACATAAGCTAATTACTAAAATTCTGTGGCACGCCAAAAAAAATGTATTTTTTGCCAATCTGACAAAAAAAAAAAAAAAGGCATAATTTTGATTCAGTCACACCGAGCCGCTATTGTGTTGGCTGTCCTTATTTATTTACAATCTAAGGAGAAAGAGGTCAATGTCCCTGACTAAAATAGTCAGGTACTGCGTGTTTTAAACATTCTTGCTGTCTCGGCACACCAGTTGAAAATCTCTGCTTTAAAAAGCATCTCCAGAGCTAGCCAAGTGTCCCGGCACGAAGCGTTCAAAAACTACTACTAGATGGGGCGGCGTTAAACCGGCCGCGCGGGGAGGTGACTCTACCGGTCTAACCCGTTAGTTATGTACCTTGACTGTTAGGAAGCGAGAAAGCCTAACCCCGGGGCTGGGCTCAGGCGGCGACAGACCCCGCCGCGGGCGGGCGGGCGGGCGAGGTGGGGAGGCAGAGCACCCCGAACGCCGCCCCGCCTTCTCCAGCCCCGCGGCGGCCGCGGGAGCCGGAGCGCGGTGCGGCCTGGGCCTCGGCGCTCGCCGTAGCGGCAGCGGGACGAGGGGGCGGGGCTCCGGGCTGGCTCCGCCCCCTTCCCGGCTACGGCGTGGGGCTGCAAACGGTTCGTCCCAGTGGCTCCTCTTACCGCTTCCCTGGTGGCTCGCGATCATGGGCCAGGAGCCTCGCACGCTGCCGCCCTCCCCCAACTGGTACTGCGCCCGGTGCAGCGATGCGGTCCCCGGGGGCCTCTTCGGGTTCGCGGCGCGGACCTCCGTCTTCCTCGTCCGCGTGGGCCCCAGCGCTGGCGCGATCGCTGGGACGCCCCCGTTTCGAGGTAACTCCCTTGTCCCTGCCCCCGCCTTTCCTGCACTTCTAGCGTTCCCTGGAGGCGCCGGGTGTGCGTCTTCGGCCACCCCTTTCTGTGGATGGAGAAACTGAGGCCCAGGCGGGGAGAAGGGTCTGCTCACAACCCCTAACCTGAGTCGCGTCCCCATCTCCAGTGGTGAGACACGCTGCGCTGTGGGCGAGCGGTCCCGCCTCCGGGCGCTCTCAGGAGGGACTGCTCGCTTACCCTGAAAGTTATCTCTGTCCAGACCCAGGAATTTTTTAACATCATGGCCTCCCTCCCCGACCCATTGCACGTGGATCCCTTAGGAGCCTTCTCGGGGTTGGGGTTGCCTCCAGCTCCAGGCCCTAAGCAAGATCCTACAAATAGATGGTACTCATTTCTGTAAGATGAAGGAATTGAGCCAGAGGCTTTTAGGCTCCAAACTAGGTCTTGATTATACCTTGGAATATGGCATGCCAGATAGTCGACTCCAAACGATCTCTGGCCAAATCTAAGTAAGAGTCCCGTTCTTCATTTGGGCTGCTCCTCAGCCTGTGAACTAGGCACATCAGGGAATATCAACAGCGTTTTACAGTTGAGAGGATGGAAGCCAAAGAAATAAAATGAACTTCTCTAAAGTCACGTGGCAGAGCCAGTTCCCACACTTGGAGTTTTTGATTGTGAGTCCCCGGATATTTTTGTTATATCACGGAATAAGGGAGGTCCCACTCATCTAACAACAGCATGAATCAGCCAGAAAGCTTAGGTAGCACTTTAACCTGGAGTCTGGTTTTGCTTGAAGTCGTAGGGGAGCTGGTGGGACACACCGAAAGAGTCTCTGGCTTCACGTTTTCTCATCATCCGGGTCAATACAACCTTTGTGCCACCAGCTCTGATGATGGGACTGTGAAAATCTGGGATGTAGAGACGAAAGCAGTTGTGACAGAACATGCACTCCATCAGGTACCATGGCTTAATTGCTTTCTCAGACTGTTGTTATGTATCTATGCCAAGGGTTCTTTTGTTTCAAGTATAGTTTTGCTAGCTCATTTGTGCAAGTTAACTTTTAGAATTGTGTTTATAAATTAAATAAAGAAGCTCTGTGTTGTAAGGAATATTTTTGGAAGGCAGTACTTATAAACCAGAGGTCAGCAAGCTACACTGCTTGCCTGCATTTGCAAATTGTTTTACTGTAATAGAGCCAGTCATTCATTTAAGTATTGCTCACAGCTACAGTATTGGCTGCTTGCATGCTACATTCATATGAGAGTTGAAGAGTTGCATCAGAGAAAATGTGGCCCACAAAATCTAAAATATTTACTGTCTGGTGAGACTGCTGATAGAAACTGTAAATCAGTAAGTGAAACTTGATTTACCTGTCATTTGAGAGAATATAGGAAAGGAAAACAGTTAACTTAATCTTAGTAAGAACTCTGCATTAAGCTATGAAAGAAATTATTTTAAATGGTTCTTTGATCCTCAGTAGCCTACATTCTACCATGTGGTTAGTATAGTCTTGCTGCACAAGTGGCACTAATAGTATTTATTAGGTGCCTATAATGTGCCTCATTATGCTGGTTAAAAGCTAAGTGAAAATTAAGCACTGACAAATGAGAAGCAAATATACTTATGTTTTGTTTTAAAGCATACTATATCAGCATTGCATTGGTCTCCTCGGGTAAAGGACTTAATAGTATCTGGAGATGAGAAAGGAGTGGTGTTCTGTTACTGGCTTAACAGAAATGACAGCCAGCACCTCTTCATAGAACCCAGGACAATTTTCTGCCTTACTTGCTCACCTCACCATGAAGACTTAGTAGCCATTGGGTAAGTACTGTTCTATCTGTGTTGGTCACAAGTAGAAAGAGCAGCTGAGACGATGGAAATAGTGCGGGTAGGTTTGTAGATCCGTTGGAAGGAGAGGGTGCTTCATTCTGATGGCTTCTGGTTTTCTCAGTGAGGCATAAGTCAGAGAGGAAATGGAGCCGAGTTCATGGGGGGGATGATACTGGATGCAGGAATAACGTATGAAAACAGTCATCTCAGAGAATAGGAAAATGAACGGGGGAAATTGTAGGTCCAGTGGTCCCTGTTGAGTGCCAAGCTAAGGATCATGGTCATGACTAAACTATTTACACTGGTTAAGAAAAGAGATGGTTAAATTCAACCAGGTTTGAGGTTTTATGGCGTAAATACTCCTGAGAGAGAGGGGACAAGGAGATGGGGTTTGTTTAAGGAGTGAATAATGGTGAAAATGGAAGGGGGCTGTGGGTAGGCAGTCTCTGTGCAGTTGAAGAGAGGAGGTTACTAGAGAGAGAGCAGAAAGGCAGAAAGGGTAGCAGGCAGGAGTCAGAGAAGATGAAACCACACTGACCTTGAAAGATGAGTTGGAATTCACAAGAAGAGGGGAGTCTTTCAGGTACAGTCAGACACGGGATTGAATGAAATGATTTTTTTCCAATGACCTTCAAAATTGTGATTATTTCTTGAGAGCTTAATCGCTTGACTATTAGGTTACAGAACTTGGTGGTTTTCAAAGTTCATGTCTTTGAAGATTAACACATTCTACGATTTAATTTTTTAATAAAGCTGTGATGAGGTAAAACTTTATAAAAGGAGAAAACTAAGTAAATAAAGCTGTTACTGGTATTTTTCCCTGTAGAAGTGTCTGTTTTTTAGGAAATGCAAATAGGTACACACCCTTTGGAGAGCAGCTTTGCATTTCTTAGTAAAGCAAAGATATGCATATCTTACATCCTGACAGTTGCATTACTAGGCATCAAACTGGAAATTGTCTCAGGTGTATATAAGAACATTAATGGCAGGTTTTTTGTTTGTAATAGCTAAAAATGTAAGCCCTTCAAAAGGAAAAGGACCTGGTGGAGGGGGGGGGGAAATGAGGAACTTTTGTAATAGTATGAACAATAAAGGTTTATTAAAAAAAAAAAAAAAAAAAAGGAAAAGGAATAAAAAAGTTGAGGTATATTCAGATGATGGAGGACTACACAACAGTATAAATGGCTGGCCAGGAACAGTAACATGTGCCAACATGACTGACTCACGAATAGAATGAGTGAAGGAAGCAAGCTGCAG